ACTTATTTTTTAGTTGGACACAATATCTCTATTTATTTTTATGTGGTGCTGAGGATTGAACCCAGTGCCTCACATGTGTGAGGCAGGCGCTCTGCCACTGAGCTATAGCTCCAGCCCTCTATAGCCTCTTAAGACTCCCAAAGGATGGTACTTCTCTCAACAGTACTTTGGGGAAGAGAAAGAATCTTCTGATTACTACTGTAAAAAAAGGAGGTTACCTGACACAATTATAGAGGGAAAGAGAAATGGAGTCCACTGAAAAGCCCTTTTACTAAAGATCATACTGCTCTTTATGGGCATGTTAGAGAAAATTTTTTTTTTTCCTAAAATTTCTATGTTCATAGGTATCCTGGAGAATATCTTATACAATGTATTTTCTTCATATAATCTAGAGGAAAAACAGGGTCAAGAGAGATTAGGGTAACATGTTGCTTTCATCAGTGAATCTGGGGCAATGCTCAGGTTTTTAGACTGCAAATCCAGCTTTGTAATGATTTGGCTGCCTCTCTGTCCTTGATGAGCTTTCCCCATCCACACCTATGAGGCACCATCTTGCTGGGTGGATGCCCTCAGCAGTTCACAGACCTGGCCCTGCTGAGGCTGTGCAATGATGATTTGCCCAGGCTGGATGGTGGTCGTGGAGCTGGTGGTCTGCTGGCCTTGCTGCTGCCCCTGGACTTGGACGGCAGTGGGCTGCTGAGCCAGCGTGAAGTAGTACTGGACAGGCTCGGCAGGAGTCACAGACTGGCGCACCTCCTCCTGTGGGGTGGAAGGACAGGCAGGTAAGAGGAAAAGAACAGACTCAGCAACCGCCACAGTGAATTTCCATTCTTCCCCAAAGAGGCTATGTGCAGTTGCCTCCTGAATGCTGAGCTCTCCACATTTGAAGCCAAAGGAAAGTGGAATTCGAAGAGACCAGTTGTGCTAAATCAAACTAAAAATAACAGATTCTATAGGCTTCACAAAACATACAGCCAATTTTCTGAGGTACTGAGTAATCACCCAATGTGCGATGAGTTGCAAACGGGCAAATAATTACCGTAACTAAAAATCACACCCCAGCAGTGCTTGTCAGTAAGTGCTGGCAAGGCCTGTGATCTGAGAACAGTGCTAATTGCCAGTGCTGGGGAAGACACTAACTAAACATCCTGCCACTTAGGCTGGTCCTCAATCTCCCAACCAGACAGCACTCTTCTTACTTTGCTCCCACCCACTCAAGAGGGACTGGGCAAGGTAAAGGGAAACAGGGCTTTTCCTGGACTAGAATTTCAGAATCAAATGTCAGATTCAAACGCACTGGTAGGCAAGTGCCCAGGTTTTCACAGACATTGAAAGTTCTGTGGTTACTGAGGACATGTCTATCCAGTGTCATATCTGGTTCTGGTTGTACTTAGCCATAGAAGCGCAACCCAGGGGGCCTGATGGACAGCTCTCCGCTGGGGTGCTGCCTTGGCTGACTAGGGAGGTCGCATCCTGTTCGATTTGCAGAATGAAGACACTGTTCCTTCTTCAGCTGACGTTTTCCATGGCAGAAGGAGTAAACAACCTTCTCCCAGCCAACTTGAGCTCACAGCTGAGAGTGTAGGATGTTTACACACACTACGACATGGTTACAGCCCAGAGGGTCGGGGGTTGGTCAGCCCCTGACCACACAGAGATCGGCGTCTGATCCGGAGTGACCTGTGACACATAGTATCCCTGCCTGGGACAACAAAACAACAACAACATACAACCACGTGGCCTGGCTGAGTAAAAATATCAGCTAAATTTACTAATTTCCTTATTCTGAGCCAAGTTTGCTAGGTTTTTAGAAAAAAAAATACTTCTTCAAGTTATAGAGACCCTGTGGATGCCTCAAAGATCCCCAATGTGACATTTACAAAATTAGTATTGACCCCATTCCCTCAGTAATTTAGGTACCCCGAACTGTGCTTCCATGTTACTATCTATATTACACATTTTTGTACCTGTATGTCAAATTAACTGCCTGTTTGCTAGAATCTAAGTCCTAAAAGGGAAAACATTTGTTTCCTACTTTCTCCCTCTCTTGCTCCCCACTATCCCTACCATTTCTCATGTAGGTGCTCAGTAAGTCCTAGATGAATAATGAGTAGATTTACATAGCAAACAGAGGCAGGAAAGTACTTTTTCAAGTTGGTGGTATAACAGATTTTCTTGAACCCAATAGCTGTTACCAACAGAAAAGTCTGTAAGCTTTCTTTTGCTACCTTTAGGAGTCTGTGGCCATAGTGTGTGGAGAAAGTTGTATTATAGAGGTGGGTATTGTTTTGCTTTCCTAATACCTGGGGACCCAGATAATGGAATTAGGACTGCTGACATCTAGCCTTTAAGAAACCTGGGGCTCTGGATAATAGTGAGATTCTCTGATAGTCATCCACCTAGGCTAGGGAGAAACCTGTAACATTATGGGTGCATAAGCAAGTCCTTTAACATAAACTGACCTTCTAAGTTAATATATTCTGTTTTAGACCCACACAGTTTTAACCCTCACATAATCATACTGAGGGAGAAAATAAAGGAGATCTCCTTTTATTTTCATCTAGGTTTCGATTTCCAGAAAAACTTGACAGTGACAATACCAGATCCATTCCAATTCTTGACTTCTCACCATTATAAACAAAGGTTAGCCTGGCAACTAGGTTTTGGCTGTGGCACAGATAAAATGTTGATACCAATTAAAGCCATGAAACTGAGGCCAACTGCTCTTTTCAAAGCTGCTGAGGTAGGTTTAATGTATTTATTTTTCTAAAGAGGTCTCTCTTCCTATTTTACAAAAAACACAAACTACTGAAGTCTAGACCTAACTTTGAAAAGTTCTTGGGTGATGAGAAGGTATAGAGGACTAAGAGCCCCAGAACCAGCTTGTAGGAAATCAGGCAACACAGAGACGCTGGCACTTCCTAGCCTTGACCTATGACTCTCTTCAGCTGTCCCTGATTACAGATGATTTAACACTAAATATGGTCTTTTCCCCCAAAAGCAAGCTCTTTAAGTATCCCTCCCAGAAGCCAAAACGCCCTTTGTGAAAACCTATTTGAACAGGTAAAGAGTCTCTCCTATGCTTCCTACTCATCCTCCTGGATGGTTAATGAACTAAGCAGTATCTAGGACATTGAAATGAGTTATCAAGCAGAGGCACTTAGGTTTTTGTTGTCAGGACAAGGCATGACTGTTCTCAAATCACTGGGATGGAAGAAAGCATACATAAGGTTCTTTTGCATTATGAAGACTCATTATTCTGCCAATGGAGATAAGCTAGCAAGAGAATGATTATGCTTGATTTAAAGAAAATCTTTTTGGGTAAAAAGATAATGACATTTCAAAAGGGAGGAACTTTCAACCCATAGCTTAGTGGGGCAGAAGTCAGGCCTGAATTACTTTCTATTTTCAGTCTTTACTTGCTTCACTATAAAAAAGGTGAGACTCCTAAGCATCTCTGAGAAGACACAGGCCTTAATCCCACAATTCAATATTCTGACTAGTGCTAATACAATCCCTGAATGATTGGATCAATCCAGAATAGGGAACTTGCTCAACTTTGGCAGTGGCTATTTAAACTAGAGGGGTTGTTCTTGGAATCTATTCAGAAGCTAAGATTGACAAATAATGCCAGAGAATGAGCAGTATCACATCTTAAGGCCATCACTACAGTGTTGTGCAGCCATTTCCAAACTAGGAAAAAAGTACATTTACTTTAATAGCAAGAGTGAACTGTTGCCTCCTTCAGAAAGGGTAAGTTTTGGAGAGTAGGTGCTTTTAAAGGACTTCAGGAGGTGCCAGACAATTTGGAGCTTGGGAAAACTTCATGTCCATAGAGGATTCAAAATGCTATCTTGGAATTTCAGGCCAGCTTTCAGCAATCTCAACCTTTCAAAGGCCAGGCAGCAGCTGTCCCAAATAGGATGCCAATCAATAGCTCAAACACCTACAAAGAACTAAATCTAGGGAGCAAGGAGCTGTTTCAGCTAGACACTTTTAAAGGAGATGATCAGAGCATTCTGACACCCTGAGAAAACCAGAAGCACTTTGGAGGAAGGGATAGGACAAGACCCTTTTATCCAGCCAGTTCATTCAGCAGGCAGCCCACAGAGAACAAGGAGTTAGCACAATGAGAGTGAACAAAGTCTAATTTCATCAGCAAGCTCACCACCTTGTTTTTAAAAGGGGCTCAGGATGGACACGGAAGAAAAAATTCCGACAAGGAAAGCAGGTGTGTGGTATGTACTGTTTGATCTAAGGAAGAGAAGTGATCTGAGTCCTTGTAGTGACTTCTCAGAGAGTAGGAAAGCACCCCAAGAGGAGGAATCAAGTCTGGGGGCACAAACCTGCAATGTCTCCCGATGCGCAGCTGGAGACGACCGTGGCAGCCTGCCGCTGTAAACATCCGACTGAAAGCTCCTCTGAACAACTTACAGCTTCCAGTCAAGGATGTTTACAGTAGCAAAGACTGCCCAGAAAAAAACAGTCGCAGTGAAGCACACTCTGCTCCAGTAAGGAAGCAACACAGGGCTTGCTAACCCAAAGGTCCCTGTGCAAGGTCAGAATTAAGGCTGACTAGGATGCCCACTTGTCCTACACTTTGAATGCCCATAGGCCAACACAGGGAGAGTGGCTGTCACCAAACAACTGCTTCTAAGGATAACAGAAACAGCTGTTCTATTATTTCTATGAAATAACTCATTAAAAACCTTTAAAATTTATTAACAAAACAAAGCCAGTAGAACAAGGTATAGCTTTGTTCCTAAGACTCGGCCACTATTTCCCAAACATTTCTGTTATACTTAATGAGTTATGTAAACTGTGTGCCTAAAACAATGAGTCTCACAGAACAGGGGTCTATTACAACTGCAATTAAGAGCTACATGCACCCAAGTGCTTTGAAAAAAAAAAAAAAACTGGTATGACCTTTGGAAAGGGGCAGACAGAAGAAAGGGGAGGGCAGACACATTCGTACAGTAGTGGTGCTCAAATCTGGTGGCACATTAAAAATCACCTGGAAAGCTTTAAAAAGTACTATGCCTGGGTGCCAGCATCACAGATTCTAATTCAGCCTATGGGGGTAAAACCTGGGCAATGGTATTTCTTAAATGCCAAAATGTATTCTAATGTGAAGCCAGGATACTTCGAAGAGCCACAATATAGAGTAAGAGAAAAGAAAACCCACCTGTCCCAAATACCACTGTTTACATTCAGAAGCAGTTTCTGAAAATCTGAAATTAACTTGCTGGGAATATTCTCCCATCTCAGATTAAGAACTCTGATAAGACTTCCTCAGGGTACCTTGAAATGCACTGTTCAGCCTACTGTTTGTAACTAACATCTTTATTTTTCATTGAATTTAATTTCATCTATTTTCACTGAAATACTACTTCAGAGGTACTGAGTTAAAAGTATCTATAAATGAGTAGCAAAGATGTTAAGGATGGATCTAGACTAAAGAAGAACAAAAGGAAGAGCAAATGCCTTGTGCAAAGAGAAGAGGCACGTCTGACAGCAGTATGGCAAGGCTCTGTAGTCAGCAGCATAGCTATACCTTCCCCAGCTCACCTGACGCTTTGGAGGTTTCAGTTCATCTCTTGGAACAATATCGATGAGAAAGTCAAACTGATCAAATTTTGTAATTGCCATGGCGATATCATTCCTCTGTAACAAAGAAAAGCAAAGTGAAAATTTGGCCTGGGGATAAATTAGTTCATCTTAATCTCCAATTAAGATAGATGACTTTTAAGTCAAACTAAATATCCCTGGCCACATCTATAACTGAAATAAGCACAGTCAAACTCAAGAACTTCAAATCATCAGACTTGTTAAGACAGAAGTCAAAAAAGAAAGAGATACACCTAGCTTATGCTCTAAAACGGGTATCTCTACCTCCAATCGTTAGTCTTCCTGCATTATCTCATCCTAGGGCCCTACATGCAACTATCAAAATATCCTCTAGCTAACCATAGACAAATCCAGCAATCTTAACCAGGAAGTCTTTGATTATTCTGTGGTTATCAAGGTCAGCTTATTATTCAATCACTTTTAGGCCCTAAGTAATGTTTTGTCTTTGGTTCACAAGTAGTTATAATCTTATCACTAGATCTATACATGCTGGACCCTCTAAAACTATGATTCTTATTGTGGACTTCCAAGCTGCAGTGATAAATTCTTGGTTTGAATCTGGTTTACTGTAACATGAATATTGAAGGTTGAAATCACTACAATAGTAGCAGCATAGGAAGAGAACACAGGAGTTACTGGACTAAAAATACAAAACCAATGTTTGTTCTGATAAGGTTTCCTCTCCAAGCATGACACTCCGTTCCTTTAAATAATAAAATTAGAAAATTTTTATTGAAACCCAACACATTTTATGTATATAAGATTTGTTTACTCTACTGAGACATTTAAAGCAAAAGAAAAGCAATGAGAAAAAAACACTGAGCTCTAATGAAACTGAAGTATTTAGGGGAAAGTCAATTTAAAAATTTTCCTAAAAATAGATGACTTGATGGATGTATAGTTTAGATATGGGGATAAAACAAGTAGAGTAAAATGAATTTGGTGGTAAATAAACAGATGTTCACTGTAAACTTTGCTTATGTTTGAAATTCTTCATATTAAAATATCAACACACTAACAGAAATCAGTAGCAACTTCTTACATACCACACCTTAAGCATGGTGACTCATCAGACAAATAGGGGATGGAAATTTTCTGGTTTTTCCTTCTCTGGTATCTATGATGGCCCCAAGCCACTGAAATGCAAAACTCCAGTGCACCCTCCTGGCCAACAACCAGCTTGATAATAAACTCTCCCAAATGAAGCAGGGCATATCTTAAAGACTGCCAGGACTCATTTAAGGTAAGTACACTGTAGTGTCACATTCTTGATGATGATACCTACTCAAACTATCTAAATGGCTCATCTATGGATGAAATAAGGGGGTAAAGGAGACAATAATCACCTCTAAACATACACCAAAATGGTCTGGACTTTTTTGAAAACAGATATATCTAAATTTATCTTTCTAAAATTTAAATTTTGCCCTTTTTTTAGGGGGGAGGAGTGGTAATAAGGATTGAACCTAGGGGAGTTATACCACTAAGCTGTATTCTCAGTCATTTTTATTTTGAGACAGGGTCTCACTAAGTTTTTGAGGGCCTCACTAATTGTGGAGGCTGGTCTAGAACTTGTAATCCTCCTGTCTCAGCCTTCCAAATTGCTAGAATTATAGGCATGTGCCACCATGCCCAGCTTCCCATATTTTATCTTTTTTAATAATAACATTCATTACTACTCATCTTCAATAAAATACAGAAATGTAAACCCAGGTAGACAATACAGATAAAAATATAGAAAGTTCCCTTCTAATCTTTTTCAGCCAATCACCTTTTCCCTGTAGCCCCTAAACCTGAGGCAACCACAACTCTGATTTCTACAAGTATAAATTATTCCTGATTTCTTTTGCTTAACATGTTTTTGAGATTCATCCTTGCTATATGGAACGAAGTTTTATTTCTTTTTATTGCTGAATAGTAATTCCTTTTGTGGATATATTGGAATTTATTAATAATACAAAAACTAATGGATACCCAAGTTGCTTCCAGTTTTGGGCTAGTATAAATGATTGTTATAAATATTTCTACACAGGAATGTCCACATATGAGTAGAATGGTAGTCAGAGTAGAGATAGGTTTGTCGGATGTGCTAAATAGTTTTTTCAAAGTGATTATATCGCTTTACATTCTGATCAGCAACATGTAAGTTTCAGACATCTCACTTCACCAATACTTGGTACTGTCAATCTTTTTTATTTTAGTCAGTCTGATGGGTATAAACTAGCATCTTACTGTGTTTTTAATTTGTATATATCCTACTATTAATCATGTTGCACCATCTTTTCATAGGCTTATTGGTCATTTGGCTATCTTCTTTTTCAAAGGAACTGAGTGTTTTGCATATTAATCAGAACTGATCTTGAAAGTGGTAGCTTTTATAGCATCTCTCTAGATTTAGACTTTTTTCAGGGCAATTTTTTGTGGTTGTTGTTTTGCAATTTTCACATGCATCAGAGTTCAATATATTTCCCCTATGTTGTTCTTTTGCTTTAAATTTTTCATAAAGTAAACAAATCTTAACTCTATGCCACAATATCTGGCTGCACTAGAATGTAGGATTCACATGGTAGAAATTTGTCTATTTTGTGTATTGTTAATCTTCATAGCCTACACAGTGCCTGGCACATTATGGGTGTTCAGTAAACACCCATAATTTGTAGAATAAATAAACAAACACACGTATTTTCAATTTGGTAGTCAAAGGGAAATGAGGAAAAAATAGACTTTGCTTTCTTGGCATTATTATTAAAATACTGTCACAGTTTTGTATCTGTTAAACCTTTCCTCTTATATTGGGGAAACTTTTTCTCCCAGAATTGGGACCTGGATTATAAGAGAGGGTTTATAGAGCCAATCACCAAGGGTTTTACATACCATAAGAATGCTGACTACTGTATTAATATAAAAAGAAAATGAAAACAAAAGGATTTCCAGGAAGACAGACAAGGAACAAAAAAAGCTAATGAAGTCAGTGAGACTACGAATTCTTCCTGAGATTGTCCCTTCCTGGAATCTCTCAATGCTCTCAACCAAAAGTTTTTTACATCTGGAAACAGAAAAATATCCTATAACTTGAGCCTCTGTTTAGATGAGGGCTCACCAAGTGAAGAGTTCAGTCACCAGCTGTGAAAATCATGCAAGATTCGGAAATTAAGAATCTTGGTAAGGAAACAGTATCACCACAGCTGTAAGGTATGCCTGGGTCCCAATGCAGAGAAAGATGCCTGACAAAGCCAAAGGAAGAACAATTTTTGGTCCAAAGCCATGCAGAGAAGCAGGCAAAGGCAGCTTTTTTTCCCAATGTAAGCCTGCTATATTACCTGAAGGGTGCGGCGCTTGTTATCCTCTGTATGGATCCAGGCTCGAAGAGTCAGTTCTGTGATAAAAATCTGGGCTGCCTTGGCAAAGAGCACAGGGGCTTCTGCACTGATCATCTGCAACAGACGTAGGCCCTCCCTGTCAATCATCAGCAAATCATTTAAACCATTCTCTTGCCTCATGGCTTACATGAGGCAAGAGTTAAAAAAAAAATAAGTAGGTGGTAGCCTCAGAAGATTCCAAGGTAAAATAAATCCATGAATAGGAACAAAGCAGGTAACAGGGAGAAGGGAAGAGGGACGAAGAATACTTATAGGCCCTAAGCAAGGTGCTTTCTTACCTTCTTAATAGCTCTTCAAAGAAATGAGGGGTTAGGGAATGGGAAGAGACTTGACCAGCCACAGAGTCAGTAAGTGGTAGGATTTAGGTTCTAATCCAAGGAGAGACAATGTGGGGAAAGATAATAAACTCAAGAGCCAATGGATATAGGTAAAATCTCAGACTTCTCATGTTTCTTGGCTTTGTTTTTCTCAAAATGAAAAAGAGAATGACCTTCCAGTGTTATCATGAGAATCAAATGAGATGATATATGCACCTAGCACAGGGCTTGGTATGTAGTAAGAGCTCAAGCAATGAAGGTGCCTCAGTGTGTCTGTCTTCCAAGTTCAAGTTTAATTAAACAAGTCTCTAAATTCCTGGTGGAGTGTTCTGTGCAGGGAAGAGTCACACAAAGAGCTCCAGAGTTAAAGAAGCAGGAGATGAGAACTGGAATCTTGGCTCTATCATGCTGGGCAAATTACTTCAGCTTTGTGCCTACTTTCTTATCTGTAAAATGGAATGAAACATTCTTATCCTGTCAAATCTCACAAGGTTGCTGTGAGGAAGAAGAACGCTAATAAAAGGGGAAATTGCTATGGACTGTTAGCTTTCTGTTTAAATGCAAGAGACCATTAATTCCAAGTGGTAATGAGGTAGAGGCAGAGCTGTTCTTTCCCTAAGAGTTGTAATGGGAGGTGGCCTCATAGGAATATAGAAATGGCCAGTCTTAAGGAAACTGTCTCACAAACATTCACTCATGTAAAACAAACTCACAGGTTAAAAGGTCAGAACAGGTTCAATGTTAACATCAGAAATTTCTTAGAGCTCTGATTAACTAGCCAGAGACTGCAATAAGCTGCCAAATGAGCAGGCATGGTGATGCACACTTCTAATCTTAGTGACTCAGGAGGCTGAGGTAGAAGGATCAAAAGTTCAAGGCCAGCCTCAACAACTTGGTGAGATCCTGTTTCAAAATGAAAAATTAAAAGGGCTGGGGATGTAGCTCAGTGGTAAAGTGCCCCTGGGTTCAATTCCTAGTACTACAACAACAAAAGATGCTAAGATGATGGTACTGTCCTGTTGATCTGACAATACATGATGTTCTTTGTTTTTGCTGTACTGGGGATTGAACCCAGGGTCCTCTACCACTGAACTATATCCTGAGCCCTTTTTATTTTTATTTTCAAACAGGGTCTCACTACATTGCTGAGGCTGACCTCAAATTTGAGATCCTCTTGCATTGGTCTCCCAAGCAGCTGAGATTACAAGTTATGTGCCACCATGCATGGCCATGATACAAGTCATTTACACTGCACAGTAAAACGAACTAGGCAATGCCACCTGATATAAAAACCAAACACTCAGCATCTTCTCGATACTCTAAAACAACAAGAGATCCCCAATTTTCAGAGCAGCTGCATATAATAATTAAAACTGTTCAATTTCAGTTCATTTAGTTTTAGAGAGAAACCAAATAAAACCAAAAAAGCAACAGACAATAACAATTATTTTCCTTGTTTAATGAAACTCTGAGCTCTAGAGAAATGAGCAATATCCTATCCTATCCTATCCTATCCATCATTTTGGCTTCAGAATGAATAATAAAAATAAATGTGAACTCACCTTCACATCTTCATCCAGTTTCATAATTTTCTTAATACGAGCCAGTGGGAGTTCCTGTACTCGGAAATCTTTCTGAAATGAGCAACAAGAGAGGTGTAAGAGGTGGGGACAATCAATAAGGTGGCAGAGCATCTTAGGAAGTAGCAAATACTGACTAGTTTAGATTCTTCCTTCAGAAAATATGGCAGGGGAGAGGGACAAATGAAATGAAAAAAGTACAAACTCCAGAAAAAAAAAAAAAATTTCTTTATTTAACCCACACAGAACTTCAAACAATTACAGGGTTTGAGGGAAAACTTATAATGGCCTTTAACAGTGCCCATATAAAAGGCAGGCCCAACCAATATCAGATTCTATATCTCAGTGCAATACAAAGGTGCATTATAAATGCCTTTTTTTCCCAAGAAAGTTTACTGGTCTGCTATATGTGGATAAAAAAAACAGATTTCTGCCTCATGGAGCATTCCTCTAAACTGTCAATTTCCTTCTGTTCAGGGACTATAAGGGAAAGGGCCAAGGCCAGAAACACCTGACCACAGTGATCCATGGTTCTTTTCGGCTAGTACAATACTGGCCCTTTCTGACCTCTGCATTAACAAAATCAGAAAGAGGCTCTTTTCTCATCATAGCAGCAAAGGAGACTTTGTCTCTAAAATTTATTTCAGGGTGTGGGTGGAAAGTTATGGAAAAAGAGGGTAAATTTACCAACTGCTGATTTTTCTTAATAAACATCCCTGGAGATGGGGGACACACACAATTTCACTGCCGAAATTTAAGAAAAGAGCTTTTTGACCAGCACTATTCAATTAGGTACAATTTAAGTTCTTTTTTTTTTTATTTTAAAACTACTAGTGTTTAAATATATATATCTAATGATAGATGCAATTCTAGAAATAAAAATAAATTTTGAGTTTCAGAGCTGGATTGAAGAGAAAGGTCCAAAGGCCTAGAATAAAATAAGCAAAATCTCTGCTGGGATTAGATGTCAAATGATTGATTCTATAAGTGATCTGAAATGTGACTCATCAAACCCAACATGATCACCTGGGAATCTGCATTGTTACATTATGGAAAAAGAAACTATTCTTTTGAGTTGTGATGAAATTGACAAGCCTAACTAAACTTTTTTTTTTTTCTAAGACCAAAAGAAAATTTCAAATATATGCAAAAAAGGGCATTCTGGAAAAACATCAACAGGCTTCTCAGAATCCATTTTATGATTACAGAAGGAAGAACAACTATTAGGATAAAATGTACACCAAGATATCTAATTACACGACGATCTAATTTCTCTATGCAAACCCAACAAGCTTCTTGGCTACCACTCAGCTCTGTCAAATACTAATTTTTCATTTTCTCCTTTTCCAAATTAGGTATCAACATTTTCCATGAAATCTCTACTAAAACTAATCCTGAAGTAAGAGAAGCTTAGGGATCCAGTTTATTAAAATTTCACCAAATGGTAAGACGGCAGAACATATTCTTTATATTCTTATTTTTTCTCCTTCTCTTTCATTTACTCATTCATGAAACTAAATTAATAGTGAATGCATCATATCTACTACCATGGAATGATGCAAACCTATGCCAACTTGGAAAAGCTTGCCATTTATTAGAGACAGTCACAAAAAAACATTATAATCCTATCTTCTGTTAGTGGAGAGGATGTAAATTCCCTCAGGAGTACCAAGAAGGAAATAACCAGCTACAATGTAAACCAGCTGGAGGGAGGAAGAATGTTGGACAATGTTTCACAGGAGGGAGATATGAGAACTGTATCTGCAGAATGCTGAGAATGTTATTCAGACAGAATAGCAAGCATAGAAATAAAGAGACTATGACTCTTTAAAAAACATGGACTACTGAAGTTTGAGACTCATGACCTGAATGAATGCATAGCGGAACAATAGGAAAAGGAAGCTGGATTAGAGCTCAATTTTGAAGAGATTTTATTTATTTATTTATTTTTGGTACCAGGGATTGAACTTAGAGACACTCGACCACTGAGCCACCTCCGTAGCCCTATTTTTGTATTTTATTTAGAGATAGGGTCTCACTGAGCTGCTTAGCACCTTGCTTTTGCTGAGGCTGGCTTTGAACTCTTCCTCCTGCCTAACCCTCCTGAGCCTCTGGGATTACAGGTGTGCGCCACCGTGCCCAGCCTCTAAAGACACTTTTTAAAAAATGTTTTATCATAGAAATCAATCCCTGTTCTTCCTTCTTGTGTGACACATCACACAAGATGATGATTCTACCCAGAAATGCCAGAAAGAAGGTGAAGGATGATCATTTCTATTGTTCAATCAAAAGTAACTAAAGAAAGGGTCACAGATAAAGAGATCATGTCATTTCCACCTAGTAGACACGTAAAATGAGGCAAAAAATTTACAAAATGCTCTGCTTTAAGCCTCTGCTTGAACCTTTTCTTTTGTGAGCAATTTCTTCTTATTATTCTTATTCTTAATTATTATTATTATTTTGGTTATTATTACTATTATTACTATTATTATTTGGGTACCAGGGATGATGATGATGATGATGATGATGATGATGATGATGATGATTTTGGTGCCATGGATTGAACCAGTGGTGCTTCACCAGGGAGCTACATTCTCAGTCCTTTTCATTTTTTAATTTTGAGACAGATCTCGCTAAATTGTTTAGGGCCTTGTTAAGTTGCCTAATTAACCTCAAACTTTTGATTCTCCTGCCTCAGCCTCCCAAGTCACTGAGATTATTAAAGGCATGCACCACTGTGCCCAGCTAAATAAACTCCTTTTTCATTATCCTCAAACCCTAAAATCCCAAGGGTCAGTGTGAGAAAAGTGGATCTTGAGAGATGTGTGGTGATGTGTGTGGTGGGGGATCATTACTGCCAGCAACATCACAGTTCTCTATAATTCTATCCCAGCTTTCCAGTCACATGTAAGGATTCACAATAAGCTTGTGATGAGGGGAGCCCCTCCATTACTGTTAGATTGAGGGCCACTAAATTGGCTTCAATTCAATGCTGCCCATGTCACTGGTGAACCTACAACTAATGTGACTATCTCTTAACTCATACTCTGGATGCTGATTCAAATGGAAGAGCAACTGACATGCATTGACTCCCCCCCCCCACTTTTAGGAGTGGGTATCAGTAAGGTGAAGGAGCAGATTCTCTCTCAGAACATTCTTATGCTCCTGACAACAAAGAATTTGAAACTGATAAGTTCAAGATGCTTGAATTCACTCAATCAGAGGTAGAAGCCAAGAAAAGTCAATGGTTCTTGGGCTGTACTTAAAAATCCAGAGTTTCAAATAATAATGACAAATTTCTTCTATCTAGGTCTATGCAGTCAGGCACTTCAGAGAGTCAATATTCTAATCCTCTTGAAAGCAGTGATTCTTAACTTTGACTAAACATTGTAATCACCTGGGAATCTTTTGAAAGATGCCTGGGTACTCCCTGAGACAAATGAATAAGGAACTCTGGGGAGTAGAGTCCTGGCATCAAGTTTTTTGACTAAGAGTCAGTGAAAGTTAAGAACTTTTATTTTAGAGCCTTGTTACTCAGAGTGACATCCTTAGGCCAACAATGACATCACTTGAGAACACAAAATAAAGGTGGCATCTTGGGCTCTACTTAAGGACTACTAAATCAAAAGCAATTTTAACAAGGTTCTATAACGAGACAATACAGTCTGAGAAGCACCACTCTACAGGAAGGGCCCACAACACAGTTCATTTTATAATAGTCCACCAGAGGTCCCCACCTAGTTCCTGTTTAAATAACCATTTAAAAAATATTATCAGGTTTGATTATAGTGTTAGAAATGTAACTGTCCAATCTGGAGGCACTGAGTAATGAAAAGATACCACTGTTGCCGGGCACTGTGGCGCATGCCTATAATCCCAGCAACTCGGGAGGCTGAGGCAGGAGGATCCAGAGTTCAAAGCCAGCCTCAGCAGATTAGTGATGTACTTAGCAACTCAGTGAGACCCCATCTCTAAATAAAATATAAAAAAAGGCTGGGGATGTGACTCAGTGGTTAAGCACCTCTGGGTTCAATCCCTGCTACCAAAAAATAAAAAGATGCCACTGTCAATTAAAGGAAAGTAACTTAGGCATTAATTTACAGCTAACTGACAGCTGACTGGGAATAAGTTGGGGGAGGATTAGATTTATCAAGATTCAGCATCATCACCACCCCCATCCAAAGACCAAAGTTAGCTTTGCCTTCTCAACTGTGAAGGAAGTCCAGAGGGGTAAAACTTAACGTCACAAAGTCTATTACCTTTTGTTCCTAGAGCTCTGCCTGAGCAGGAATACGCAGTATTTTATACATTCACTCTGGTACACTATCATTTTGGGATGGCTTTTAGCCAACTTCAATCCCAGATAACACCTGAATTTATGGACAATTAGAGAGCTTTTAAGAATGAGGGAACACAATGGTCAGGCAGAGATAAAAGATAAATTGCTTTTGCAGGACTGAGGGCCAGAGTGGTATCAGTAAGGTGAAGGAATGGAGCATTTTGTAAATTTCTGCCTCATTTCACATTTCTACTAGGCGGAAATAATATGATCTCTTTAGCTATGACCCTTTCTTGTTGCTTTTGAAACACATCATCTAGCAAATTATAATTTCTTGGTTTTGGAAAGGTATGTTTCCCAGGCTTAGAGAGACAACAACACTTTATGCATATTCTTTTAAATTATACTATGTTTGGATGGTTTAAGCATAATGAATTCTTTTTTTAATCTGTTAAACATTTTGAGGTGTCAACCTAAGAGGTTATGGCATATTTGAAGAAGTCTGATTTTTAGTACTGCTGAATTCTGGAAAGGCCCAGATGAAATGCCAAAATATTTGGTCAAGTAGCACAGGCAACATGAGGTACAGTCAGAGAAACAAATGCCTCCATGTGCTGAAATTAGAGTCCTGAGCATAGAATAAAAAGAGAGTCTTATAAAGGGAAAAACCACCCTTACTTTATTAAATCACATTTCACTGAAACTTGTAACTGATGTTGCTTTACATTAAATATGAAGTGGAAGAGTCTGGTTCACTCAAATATTATTGTGCAGGTACAATATGCCAGACATTGCTCTAAGCAGATGATATCATAGCATAGTAGAAGTCTAGTAATCAATGGAAGAGATATTAAAAAAACACTCTTTTTATTCTTTGCCCCATACCCCAAACCAAAACTGAATGCCTCAAAGTAATCAATCCTCTTTAAACCTCTGATAGACTAGATGTCTAGGTGATAAAACTTGGTCAATACCACAATCTGCATTTTTGACAAACTTGAAAAGTAAACCAGTAGGTTAAAAAAAAAAGCCCAGGATAATAGTAGCACTACTCAACAATAGCCAAGAGGTGGCAATGACTCAAGTGTCTATTAACAGATGAATGGATAAACAAATGTGGTATATACATATAACAGGATATTATCAAGTCTTAAAAGGAAGGAAATCTTGTTACAAATGGATGAACCTTGAGAACATTATACTAAGTGAAATAAGTCAGTCACAAAAGGACAAATATATTTGACTCTACTTACATTAAGTATCTAAAGTAATCAAATTCATAGAAAAGAAAGGAGAATGGAGGTTAGCAGGGTCTGAGGAATGGGGAGTTGTTTTAATTGGGAGAGTTTCAGTTTTGCAAAATGAAAAAGTTCTGGAGATGTGTTTCCCAAAAATATACTTAATGAATATACTTAATGCTACTAAACCAAACATTTAAAAATAGATAATAAATTTTATTATTATATTTTTAAAATATTTATTCTTAAGTTTTAGGTGGACACAATATCTTTATTTTACATTTATGTGGTCCTGAGGATCAAACCCAGTGCCTCATGCATGCTCTCTACCATTGAGCCACAACTCCAGCCCTGTTATTTTTTTTTTTTATTGCAACTATCATCTAATCAATCAATCAAAGCTCAACGGGATACAGAAAAGTTAAAGTGTTGAGCTTAAACCTCTCTGGCCACCTGCCTGGTCCTGAATTTATGTCTCTGAGCCCATGCTAGTGCAGACTTCTAAATGGGCCAATCCTGCCATACTGCCAGTTTTCTATCAGACTGACCCTCACACCAAAACCCAGTAAGCTTAACCATTAGATTATCTTCCCAATTTTTGAGAAAAACATCCCACTTTTGACTTTATAATACGATTGTTCCCTCCACTCTCTTTTCTGAGACAGTACAAATAACTACCACGTTGAGACTGCTGAAGAGAAACAATGGTTCTTCACTGGAATTCTACTCTGAACATAAGCCACTGTGAAAAAAACCAAGCCAAATTCCACTGCTGAAAACCCCTTATGTAAATAAACACTACCCACAGATATATTCAGAAAATGAAATAAGTTTTTTTAAAATATATTTTTAGTTAATGAACCTTTATTTATTTTTATATGGTGCTAAGGATAGAACCCAGTGCCTCACACATGCTAGGCAAGCATTCTACCACTGAGCTACATCCCTAGCCCTGAAATAAGTTTTTTACCCTTGTAGTTAGTGGGTATTTATCACAGTGGGAAACTAGTTTGTTCTTTCTACTTACCACTGAGCCACAACCCCAGCCCCTGGTTTATTTCTTTTGTTACCTGTTTTCAGTCTGTCAACAGAACTCATGTTCCCTGAGTACTACTGGCGTACTAATGGACCCATAAAATTCAGCATAGCTACAATAAGTGCAAAATATTTGTTGAGTAAATAAATAAGGGGACCTTGTTTTAGCAGAGACTAAAAGCCATTAAATCTAAGGAATTGCAATATTAGCTCCACATCAATAAGGAATTCAGTACTGTCTCTGCCCTTATGCTAATATCTCTAGGGCAGGAATGACATATTCAATAGAGGGAACTCCTTCAGTATTTGCTAAAATAATACCAAATGGAACAGTCTTCATTAAGGACATGATCCTGTACTCTGAAAATACTCTAATTCTAACCTGTTTCACCTTCTACTACCACTCTCACACCCCGACTGTCCTCCTACCCCAACCTCCACTACTCATGTAGGAACCTTCAGCACTCCAATCTTCTTGCTACTCCTCTAAACAAAAAGCTTTCTGCTCTAAGCCTCCATTCCTTTACAGACCCCTTCTCACTGCCCAAAATCTATTGTCTCATCTTTTTAATCTGATGAATGCTTATTCATATTTCAAGATGCAACAAACATGTTGGCTTTACTTGATGCTTTCCCTAACTCAACCAGCAAGAAGCAAGCACTATGACTTCTGCACTCCCTTTGCACATTGCCTTTTACTGATTCAGGAGTCATCACTATGCCCAAGTCAGTGAGTATTTAATAAATACTTATTGAGTAAATTAGTCTGGCTGTAATTACAAGGTTGGATTCTTCTAAGTCAGTGGTTTTCAATAGTGGATGATATTAGCCCAAAGGGACATGTGCCAATATCTGGTACATTTTTGGTGGTCACAGCTTGGAGAAGATACTATTATCATCTAGTGAATAGAGGCCAGAGATGCTGCTAAACATCCTATAGTACACAAGACAGCCCCTCACAACAAGAATTATCTGGCCAAAAATGTCAATAATGCTGCTATTAAGAAACCCTGATCTAAATGCATTTTTTTTCAAAATTTTAAATATATATATATATATATATATATATATTTTTTTAGTTGTTGATACATCTTTATTTATCTATTTATATGTGGTGCTGAGAATCAAACCCAGTGCCTCACACATGCCAGGCAAGGGTGCTACTAAGCCACAGCCCTAGCCCCTAATACCTCAAAAGAGTGTCTGCCTCACAACCAATTTCTTAAATAAATTGTCAATTATTTTCCCCCAAGTTCTAGAAATTTACAGGGCCACTAAATTAGGCAATAAGAAATGAACTATTTTTAAAAAAGAAGAAGAAAGCAATGAACTATATCAACTTCACGAAGGTAAGATCTCTGCTTTTCTCATAAAAGATATATCTCACGTCAGACAACAAACATCCAAATCAAAGTATCCATTACACACCCACACACCTAAAAAACACCACTAAGATGATATAGGACACACAGCTACCTTACCTAAGGTAAGTGATATCTTCATTTTTGCATACAGGAATGTACTATGTCAGGAATTTATGATGCCTTTGTAAGTATGCTTGAAATGAAAATGTTTTAGTCTCAAGTTTTTTTAAATCATCTTTAGAAGTTTCTCAATTTTCCTTACCACTGTTAAATTCCGGATTTCTTCCATAACACGAGGCCAGAAGGACTGGAGGCTTTGCTGAGCATCACTGCTACTAGTACCACCAAACCCTCCTTCTGTGGACATTTCGATAACTGAAAACACACAGACATGAGACACATTAGAAATTAATAAAGTCAGACTTTTTGTCCATGTTAGTAATTTCTCTCTCTTTATAGATGTTTTCACTAATTTTTCAGTCTGATAAGATATATACTTTGTCTCTACTAGAGATTTCTGGCACAGATTCAAATCTTAGCAGAAAAAATTAGGAGGAAAGTTTTTCCTTCAGTTTAGATTACACCACCACAAGAGAAAATCAAAGGAGCTCTAATTAGAAAATCAAAATATAAATCAAGACCTTTAACTTCTTGTGGGAGTGGGGAAAGAATTTTGTTGCCCTAGTCTACTATACTTTCAAAGCCTTTTCAGGTTCTCCATGGTTTCCCAAACTTCAAGTCATGGCTTGCAGCAGATATATTAAGGTCCCCAGAGATTAATATGGAACAAAATGTTAGTCCCCAAATCTTTTAAAATAAGAACCAAATTTATTCTTTTGTTTCAGATACTGGAGCCCATTTTTCTGAAGTTACTGGTAATTATTATTACTTCTAATCTAAGACAACTCTGTCTCAAAGACATAAAAGTGCAAAAGACCATGTCAATAACTAAGTGGGTGACATGAAGTCTGAACTGAAACTACCTACTTCCTAAATCTTTCCTGACGAGAACCTTGCTTTTTGGCACAAAGCCAAACATAACACACGGCAAACAGAAGCTTTAAAGACAGTTGAAATAATGGTGAATTAAAATTAGCATAAAGAGAGACAGAACCTACATTTGGTCAAGTGTTTTGTGATAAACATGAATCCCCACATTAGTTCTAATTGTAGATAATATTGTAATGTCTTTAAAAAGAAAAAAAAATCTTCCAGATTGCTTAAATGCTTATCTGGCAAACAGTTAAATGCAAGCAACAGTGTAATTAGGCACAAAGAACCAGAAACTTGGTGATCTCCTAAGAATTTCTATTCCAGAGAATTATTTGAAAAGGCTTAACATGCCAGTGACAGGATGCTGGCAGACAGCTATGTAAGTTGTTTAGAACTAATTCTGAATGACTGAAAGAAAAGGCACCAAAGCTAGGTATCACATGATCAAACGTGTCACTTTCCAGACTCCTTGTGGATGCATGCTAGGCAGATCAGTTTCCAATAGCAGAATGAAACTGAAGACTGACAAATCTAGGTTTAGCCTAAAAGGATGTTCAGTTCACAAAAATGTTTGTCTCAGGTCTCTGACCTCCCTCCCCTTTTCCTTCCAAAGAAAATGAGAGAGGAAAGAAATGGAAGGAAAACAGAAGTATAATCTTCAAAGCAGACTTCACTCTGGTATAATGACATTAGTGGGTGATGATGTAATGGGAAAAGGTTTGGAGCCAATTTTTGGTGCTGGAGGCCTATAAACAGCTCTATACATCAACAAGAACTCTAAAGTATCTGGGAAGCAGTATGTTCTTGGAGTTTCTGGAAGGAGTTAAAGGGAAGTGTTGAATCACAGTTGGAAATGACTAGATAAAATCAGTGATTGTATAAAAGTGCTTCTTGAATTGTGTACCTTTGTGATATATTTGGGAAGAGATCAGAGGACAGTTGAAACTTGTTACCACGGCTGGGTATTATTTAATACTCAGTGAATATTAAATAATCCAGTGAGATTCCCCTCAATTCAGCTCTCATGACATTTCTACTTATTAGCACATACACATGATCTATATACAACTTAAGATGCATTTATAAGAAAAAATTCAAGGTAATCTAGAGAATATTAATTTATTTTTATTAGTAGTTTTCTATAAGGTATTCATGACAATGAAGAGAGTGATAAAATCTAATCTTTTTAAATGGGCAAATAAAAAAATCTTTCTGGAAATGAAAATTATGAAAAAAAGCTCAAAAAAAGAATCTAACCTTTCACAGCATGGGTCCATGGACAGGTATGATCTTAGCACAATCTTCCACACAAACTGCTATACAGTTAAAGGAGGAAGATGCACTGTTACCAATGTGACATCTTCGTACATTCACTAATGATGGGTAGGTTTAAATGGAGTGCAAAGGTCTGTAAGATTTAGAAGTTTGGTAACAAGTTTTTTTTTTTTGGTATGTTTGTATGTGTGTGGTACTGGGGATTGAACTCAGGGGTACTCAACCACTGAGCTACATCCCCAGTCCTATTTTGAATTTTATTTAGTGACAGGGTCTCAGGAGTTGCTCAGCACCTTGCTTTTTGCTAAGGCTGACTTTGAACTTGCAATCCTCAACCACTGGGATTACAGGCATGCACCACTGCAACTAGCCGAAGTAATAAGTTTCAGCTGTCCTCTGATCTCGTCCCAAATACATCACAAAAGTACACAATTTAAGAAGCATTTTTATACAATCACTGTTCGGTTTGCTTTTACATTTTGAACTGCTCCAACTCTGCATATGCGGCAAGGTCAGTCCGTGTAGTCAATAGATCACGAATGAATCTTTAGCTGGCTCAGAGCCACACACTGTTGCAGTGGAGTTGTGTCTAAACAGGTTATCAAATATTTCTTAACTAGAAATGAATTAAATGTTAAGTTTTAACTTGAGAAGATAGAAGCAAAAAATACAAGTCAATAATAATGCCTCTTATATTTTATTCCATCAGAGGAGTTGAGCACTGAAAAGACACCAAGAGACAACCAGGCCCACTCCTCTGCATGGGGCCCAACTCCTCTTTAATCTCTGTTTCAACCCCAGGACTCTCCCTTAAGTAGTCATCCAGCTTAAATTTGAGTGCCCCTCTCTCTCTCTCTCTCTCTCTCTCTCTCTCTCTCTCTCTAGTTCAGAAAACTGGCTTACTGGTAAGGCATTCTTTTCCATCATTGGACAGATCTGAATGTTCTTCTTTACATTAAGTTTAATTTACAAGGTAAGTTACATCTGAGCTTTGCATTTAATTACAGTCTTTATATTTTTTCCATCCAGCCACACTTTCTTTATTCCTTCTCCTTTTTTTTAAAATAAATTCCTGATCTCAAAAGACAAAAAGCACTCTCTATTTAGGACACAGATTCTCCCACGGGGAAAAAAAAAGAAAGATAAAAGATCTAAAGCATGTTTTCTAGCATCTTTGCAGAGATGATTAGTAATATCTCTTGGAAGAACATAAGTTACTTGTAAATTCCTGGAAAAGGTGAGTCCTTTTATCAAAAGGCTTTTCCTAAAGCAGATCCATTCAGTGCATTGAGCTTTAAAACATTAGACCAAGCCAGGTGCAATGGCATGTGCCTATAGACCCAGCTACTAGGAAGGCTGAAGCTGGAGAATTCCCTGAGCCCAGGAGTTTAAGACCAGCCTGAGTAACATAGCAAGACCTCATGTCAATAAAAAATAAATAAATAAGCCAAGCAATATATTTTATGAAAAACTAATTAGTGTTCTCAATATTCTCTCACTGAGGTATGATTTAACACTCAAGTAATAATGCCTAATTGAAAACACAAAATAATTTTGCTGGCCAAAGACACCAACAAGTTAAAAAATATGAAGCAATTTTAAATGCCATTAACACATTAATTGTAACTGAACTGATTTTACTACAGAAGTAGCCAATTTATAACATTAGTGGCCCATAGAAAATGTGTTGGGTTCATCTGGGTGATGAAAAAAGGCATGCATTTAAAAGTTACAAGAGATTTATTTAAGGATTATTTTCATTCCGTGTTAAGTCACTATCTTTACCACTGGGGAAAGCTATTTATATATAAAGTTGACAATAGACAAAACGGTCTTAAGACCATGCCACATTAGCTTAGATCACTCTTATGAAAAATGCAATATAGAATTTCCCAACTTTAGTTCATTTTTAATGTTCAATTTATTATTTATGTTCACTAATTACTTTATAAATCCTTGAATAAGACTGTTTAACTGTTTAATAATGAGGTAAGAATTGAATTGAATGGTTGTTGCTGAAAGTAATCTCAGCTCCCAGTACCTATTAATTTATCTGTTTTTTAAAAGTTTGCTTTCCACAACTAGACAGGGAAGAATCAAAGTCCATAATGAAAAAGTAGTTTCTTCAATGCTCAGCTCAACTACCATTTCTCTACACAGTCTTCTTTAAATATCCCCATCTGCAAGTGGTCCCTCCTTCTTGTGAACCTTCAAAGCCCTTGATTCGCTGCTCTCTTTCTGCCCTCATGCATAACCTTGTATGATCATTATGTCTATGTTCCCTCCTAGTATACAAGTTCCTTTTTTTTCTTTTTTTGCACTAAGGATTTAACCTAGGGGTACTCCACCACTGAGCTACATCCTCAGACCTTTTCATTTTTAAATTTTGATAGGGTCTAAGTTGTTGAAGCTGGCCTCCACTTACAATCCTCCTGCCTCAGCCTCCTGAGTCACTGGGATTACAGGTGTGTAACACCATGCCTGGCTCTGGTGAACAAACCAGAGGATAGGATCTGAGTAGGATTCATCTCTGGATCCCCCACATCACCTAGCACAGTCTGATAACTACCGAGTGAAGGGCAAGGGAGTCACTAGGTACAGCCACTCTGAGAAAAAGGGCAGCTTAGAAAGTTTGACCCCTCCCTTCAATTTTATGAAGCCATTTGAATTCCTCCAATGTGTTACTTTGACACTTAATGCAATGTTTATGCAACAATCATAAAATTGTGCTCCTTTTTGCAACTACTTAAAAATCCCCATCCTTGACCTGCCTAAGTATGACTATGTGACAATAATAATTTTACAACAATAAATGTCAAATTAATTATGTCAAAAAAAAAAAGAAGAAGAAGAAAGTTTGACCCCAAGAGAGACTTACTGGGATTGCCTGAACAACCAAAGGAAGTGGTCATAGAAACTGTTATAGGAAGCTCAGAATAAATGAGCATCTCTCTGAATCTTTAAATCAAGAAGGACTATAATCAGAAAGCCGCCTGAAGCTGACTTACTAAAGTGGATTTAAGATAAAAGGGATGACAGAAAGAACCATACACATACATATACACATATGCAAGAAGGTCCTAGAATTTGCAAGGCAGCTTCAAAGT